AAACCAGCTGCTTATACCAAACATTTGTGCTGAAGATGTTCTGGGGAGTCCTTACGCCATGACATGATGTTTATGTGCCTGAGAACCTACTAGAAAAGAGCATTCCTGAGCACTCAAACCTTAGGCTCTGTTTGTACCTTACAGCACGACTTGTAGAATCAATCCAATTTCCTTCAAAGGACTGACGCTATTTGTAGAAAACTTACAATATCTAGTATTTTCAAACTGATTTTTAAGCTCCAGACTATAGGCAGGAGAAGATCTCCACTGGACATGGAATTAAGATGGATGCAAGTAGCACTATTTACATTTTGCTGCATTAAAAGGACACACAACTCAGTTTCAGACACAGAAGTATTAAAAGGACTCAAGCCTTTTACAGTCTCTCAGCAAGGCAAAAGATTCTTTCCATCAGGAGTTGCAGGCAGCCCAAACTGTTCCCCCCTACTAGCTTCCTCCTATGAAGGGATTTAACTACAGTAAACACAGCCTGCAGTTTTCTCCAGTTGACTGTGTCCTTTTAACACACAAATTGTAACATAAACCTTCTGCACAGTTAGATCTTCAAATTACTGAAGGCAGTTGATTTTTCAAGTCGTCTTTGTTCAAATGTTTTTATTACACACTAGTCCAGATACAAGCAGGGTCTAAGGGAGTGACTGTCAATGACTCGGGCCTTCAAGCACCTATCACTCAGCTCAAGCACTCATGGTTTGGTTTTGTATCATTCATTCACAAAAGCAACCAACTAGTTTCAACATTTTATTAAATGGTTGTTTCATATACACAGTTTTTCTCCACAGTAACAGAATCCGGATCGCCAGCTATGAAACCATTTCCATTAACAGTTACAGAAAGCTTTACAGATAATACTTGACTAATTTGTTTGAACCCAAACAGGTTACAAAACACATCCAAAAGCCACAAAACATTAGTAGGAATAGACCAAAATTCAAATATGGCATTTCATACATAGTAATAATCACCAGAGAACTGTTAACACATTGCCTCCGTGCTGAGCCGGGCTGCACTAGAGTGGTTAGAGGGAGCAACAGTGCTGAGTTGCTTGGTGGCATCTTCCTGCATTTTAGATTTCCTCAAAAGTTTAAATGTGTACACCCACCCCTTGGACACCTTTGCACATTTTAGAGTAAAACTTCACATGAGGTTACAAACCCGAGGACATGTTTAGGGACAGCACTAATGGGGACCAATTGCTTTTGGTGGCTCCCTTCCAAACTATATATATATATAAATTTTTCTTTTTTGGCCAATGTACACAATTTAATTTCTGTAGTGAAGAGGGAAAAAGTTACCAGTGGGAAGAGATCTCCTTTTACAGGAAATGAACTTTATTCTGAGGATGAAGAACCAGCTGCTCTGCCTCAGGCCCTGCCTGCTCTGCTGCCTGTAGCTTTAGGGACCGGTGGTTGAGCACCCGTCTGTCCACACAGTGCAGTCACTAGTGCTTTCCCAGACAAATTACACATTGGTGAGCAAAAATGCAAGCAGTTCCCGAGCAAAACATGGCATTACAACAGTTTCGAAAGGTCACAGCTGCTCAGATGCCACACATACACATTGGTATATTCCTATAAACAATGAGGTACATTTACACAATTTACACAGTCTGTGTTCAAACAAATTAGATCGGGTTGTCCACTGTATAAATCCCAGAATTTATGGAATTGTGCAGCATTCAGAGAATGGGTCTGTAACTATGACTAGGAATTCAAAAATGGCCATGCAATTGTCCATGGTACAGAACCGCTTCTCTTGTGGCTGGTCAAACCCCCCTGGAATGTCCGGAACTTACAGCCAATTAAATTCTTCTGTACAAACTGGGTTAGTTTCCAACGCAAAATTAATGAAACGTATGAAAAACGGTAAAACAGCTTCTGAAGCGCTTCTTCTTTGTGTCTTGAGGATGAGTAATACTGCAACATTATGCTGAGGCTGATAAGGTACTCCCCTTCTATCTTCCCAAACTGGGAACTACTCTTTACAGGATAGTATCAAAATATACACAAATTTAAAATTAAAATAAATACTTTAAGTTATTAAAAATTAAAGGGTTTCTTCCAATTACAACAGTTATCCAACTATAGATCACAGTATCAATTTAAAACTAGGAAGCAAACACTTTTTAAAGTATTTGACAAGAATATATATATATATACCTTAGTAAGCTGGGCCAGAGAAATAGATGCAGAAGAGTCATCAATCTGTTCACAAAAAATTAAACACATATTCAAGTTCTACAGTCAAAACACAACAACAGTTAACCTCTACTATAGTCTGAATGTCTGCACTATATCCCCTGAGTGTCACCCAGAGGCAACTCCAACCCAGTGTAATTTGTATTTATTCAAAACAAAGTCCAAATCTATGATGGCTTAAGAGTGTCTACATAGTTATGAGAAGAAATTAAAATAACCAACCCTGCTGGTCACAATATCTCAGAGAGGGATCCCTGTCAAAAGGGTAAAGGAATCTGCCAATTTTCAGCTAAAAAGGATTTAAAAAAAGTAAATAATTTTAACTGAGGAAGAAGCATCACTTCGGGTAACTTAATATTAGTGTAGTTTATAAATGAATCAGTGAATGTCTCATCATTATAAATGCACACAGTGATGCTTTTGTGAACCCAGCAGCTGCCAGAAAGAAGGCCAGGCCCAGCAATCCTGGAACACACACTCTGCCCCTCCTGTCAGTACCCAAATAACCTCAAATATAAACCAGTCTAGAACAGCAGCCACAAAAGTAACCTGTCACTTTGCCTGGAAAAAAACCTGCATAAATAATTTACATAACGGTGTTTATAATGCCAGAGTAGACTATAAAACCTCAAAAAACCTGTACGTTATTAGACCACAGGCCCTGCCACCCAAATCTGTTTGGGAAGTGTGGGAATGTAGATTATTGCTTGCAGTCAGATCAAACCTGATCTTTAATAGCAGCCCAGTGCTAAATGAACAAAAGAAGAAAGTGCAAAACTTGATGATGAAAACATGGATTCAGAGCACAACCCTGGAGTTTTTGTCTCCATTTTTCTCCTCCCAGCTGGCTATGGAACAGCTCTCAGGAGTGGAGTCTTCAGGCCAGTAGCTAGGAACAGACTGCAGAGCTTATGGAGAACTAGTGCTGAAGGGCAGTTTTCCCACAAGTAAAAAGGGCAACTCTGATCTTCTCCAATACATATACATGGAAATCTACCATGCCACGAGCAGCACTTAACCTGACACCAGCAAAGCAGTGCCAGAAAGATACTCAAATCACTGCTTATTACATCTGAATTGCTGAAAAAAGTAGAATAAAATTTCTCAGTGTGAACTGAGCAGCTCTCCAAGAGGTCACTAAACAGGTCAGTAAAGAGATTAAAACCTTTCCTTAAAACAGCTCTTGTCCTTTACTACCTAATGTGGTGGGAGAATTCAAGGGGGCAGTTTTGGCAGACTGAGAAAAAGTATCTCCACGCAGAAGATGATTCCTCACTCCAGTTAGTTGTTCCTCCTCTATGTTTTCAGGAAAGCACATATAGCACACATTCCTGTATTACTGACTAAAGAGCTCTTGAAAAGTGTGCCTTTGGATCACCCAGATCGAGACAAAGAGACCTTAATTCCACTGAAAGTCTTACCAGAAGATTCACCTCTCCTCTCTAGAACACTTTGCACCTAGTCCTGCTCAAAAGGAGGTCTGGACAAGCATTTTGAAGCCTCGTGCTCCATATGCCCCTCTCTTAAATGTGGAAAAGCAAAGCAGTGTTCTCTCAGGGCAGGCACAACTATATTTTGTGGCTTTTCAGAAGCAAAAAAAAAAAAAATAAATTAGGAAAGCTCTAGCATTAAACAGTCTAGTACTGACCAGAAACTGAAGCACAACAGTTAATAAACTATTAATTAGTTCTTGTAATTTTTTTTAGGAAGCAGTTATTATATGGCCTGCAGGCAACAGTCTAATTTCTTAAAAGAGGTGATATTGAACAGTTACCAAAAACATAAAAAAAAATAATTAATGTACTCTTCAATGCATTTGCCCAATGGCCATCTTTCCATGGTCCTACATTTCTGCCTATTTTTTTTCCTTTTAAATTTCTACTGAAGCATTTCCTGGTAGTCCCTCAAAACAGTCAAGTAGAAACATCTCCATGAGCTTGTATGCAACCCCAAGATAACACTGCAGAAGAACTAGAGAAAAAAAAAGAACAACCAGAAAAAGCAGACCCCGAACCCTGAACTCCAGAGCCAATGTATTAACTCCCATTTCCTGCAGCAGACTGACAAAAACTAACACGAAGCCAAGTGGGCAGGGGGACAGAAGAGGGGAGGCAAAGGCTGATGGCACTGCTGGAGTGCTCCACTGAAATTCCAGGGCTTTCCTAAACCCTGGAGCTTGGCTACACTGCCAGTTCAGCCAGGAAGGCTCCCAGCTGTGCCTGACAGTGCTACAGCAATGGGCATGGCCCTGCACTCCTGCACTGCAGGGACAGAGAGCCCAAGAGCCCTGCATGGACTGCAGCACCGACAGTTCAGCAGAAAGGCCCCACACTGGCTCTGGCTGTGCTAACACCAGCACAGTTCCACATGTGCAATGACAGCTGGTATAAGACAATGAAGACATTAAAAATAAGCTTTTGTGCATCCTTTAGAAAGAAATCTTAACTGATTCTAATTTTGCAGCTTTACTGTCCATCAATAATTGACAAAATTTCCAATGATTTACCCCTACTACACCGAGACCCCGGTTCCACTCTGAAATACATGCAGAAATAGGTGTATTAAAAAAAAAAAAATAAAGGCAAACAAACCCCCACGCTTCAGAACAAGACCTGAGTTAGCTTTAAGAACAAACTATTTGTGTCTCCAGCCCCAGAAGTTCCTGAGGCTGCTGGGCTTTTGCAGTGAGAGAGAGGGAGGGTTTGTACAGAGGGATGCAAGGGCTTCCACCCTCCCAAACCAGGGGCAGTCAGAGCACACCAAGGAATGGCTTTGCTTTGCCTTTCCTTTCCTGCCATTACTTCTCACTCACACTAAGTCTTCCCTCCCACTCCGGGATTTTTCCTTTTCTCTTTTTTGACACATCTACATTAGCTTATGGTAAGATGCTACTGAGCAATGTAATACAGACATGCCAGGGAACACACGAGGCTAAAAGAATGTTAACTTTATTTATGAACATGTGGTTTGTGTTTATACACATGCTAGTAAACAAAAAGAAAAAGAACTGTTTTCAAGAAATAAAACCCCATCTGAATTAGATCAAATACTATAAACGTGGTTTACATAAATGCATTACATTAACTACTAGGGTCACTGGGCCAGTTCAACTAACTCAAACTCACAATCAGAGGCATTTGTGTCTAAAAAGGAATTCCAATCAATCAGCAATAGAATTACAGATATCACATTTACTGATTTTAGATCTACGCACAAAATTTTCAATTTGAGGTTGATTGTTTCCATGGGGACCAGAGGCTTTATTCTACCCAGAACACAGCCCCAGAGTTCAGGAATTTCTAGATTGAGTGATCCTAACGGCTGATCGAGTGATCAGATCCAATGATCCAGGGTTAGTGTAATGCCTCACACCAGTCTAGTGAAGGAGAAGCAGTTATATTTAAAATAAAGATGAAAAATAAACCCCACCAAACAGTACTCTAAGAACTATTGGAAAGGCATAGTTGCACACAGTACCGGCCAAGTGGCACACCAAGATCTACCCCATCACCTGGATTTCCGTGGGGGATTTGTATGTTAGCAGCACAACAACAGTGTTTGCAAAACTGAAGGAAAATGCTGCCCTTTTCCAAATGTGAATTCCAAGTGGTGGTATACTAAAGAAAGGCTTAACCTTTGGGAAATACAGCAGCAGCCAGCCTCAGAGTTACCCAGATCCAAAAACGTGCTGCAGGCAGAAGTTAAGAAAAATGACAGGGATTTCACCCCCAAACGCCCCAGGCTCTAACCTGGTGTCAAAATTTGTGTTGTATATTGTCATTTGCAGACAAACTGCTGTTGAACTAAACTGCTTCACCAGATTAAGGGGAGAGATCAAATGCAGAACTTTAGAATACCACTCTGTGTAGCAACGATATCGAAATTCACGTCAGGCTATTAAAGACATTTCTGTACTCAGAGGGGCCCAAACAATATCACTTCAATTACACAGTTTCAGGAACAAATACCCAATATTTAAGGACATGAGAAGGAATCATTTAGCTGCACAGAACTGTCCTCAAAACGTCTGGGATATGCTGGGTTTGGTATTTGTTTGAACCCCCAAGTCAAAAGTAAGGAACAGCACCAAGTTTCACAATAATGGTTTCTCAGTGGTTTTTGATAAACATTTTCAAAAACCATTAGGCAAAAAAAAGGTATTTAAAAACAAAAGCTAAGTGATACAATGTGAAAATGGCAAAAAATACACTCCAAACAGTTTTTATTGCAAGAAACAAAAAGCACACAACAACCTATACAAACATACATATCACTAGCTATAGACAGACAGATGTAGAACATGGCACCATGTTCAGTGTGCAAACCTCGAGCCTACAGGATCTGAAACGATCATACATTATCTGTACAACACAGAGTCATACAGGAGAGATTCTGGCATATTCAATATGAAATACAATGCATTGCTAGGTAAAAATACCAATATTCACATTAGAACTCTGCAAGTAAAGGCATTACTCAGTTTTTACTATGCTGAATCAAATACAATGTATTTACAACATACACTAGGTTTTACTGGAAAAGATATTAAGTTAATGTTTGGCAAATTAATAAAAGGCTGCATTGTTTAGAATTAAGTGCAATGTGTAGGAAAAAAAGTGTGAGATTGTGTTTTTACATACTGCTTTTGATGTCCCACTCACTGGCTCACTTCGACTTCTAGAAGAAGAAATAAAGGTGATCAGAATTGAAAACAAAGCACTTGAACCCAACACAAAGACTCCAGAACCTGAACATCACAACATTATGCTCCAATACTCGAGTGAACGTGGACATTTACTGGTATACATAAACTGTTCTCTCTCGGTACATTCAGTGCAACTAAAAAAACCCCCCAAAATCACATTTCTACCTTGTCACAAATTACTCAAGACTCACAGATCTAGAACAGAACAGTGCAAGAGGAAGTCCTCACATACTGTGTCTCTACTCTCTAAGTATCAAACCCATGAAGTCCGTACTAGAGTTCTGTGTTCTTAAACAATCAATGGCTGAAATGTGGAGGCAGCTTTGGACAACCTGTACATCCCTGGTATCACACACAGGTACCAGGGACAGGGCTCCAGTTTCTACAGAACAACAATCATCATCTACAAGTGCAACTCTGCTCAAGTGAAAAACACAGTCACGTGACGAAGGGGTAACAACAGTGTCAGCAGCACAGTCTCTAGAACAGTGTTTCTTTGTGGAAGCCCAAGCACTGTGTTCAGAGATCTACTATATTTAGCCATCCAAGTGCCAAAATATTAAACACGTTACATATGCTATATTGACTAAAAATAGTAGTAGAAATGTCACCTGAAAGTAGTTTCTAGGATTTTGTGCGATTTAGGAGTCCTGTGACAAAAAAAAAGGTCTTAATTGCCAGAATTTGCTTTCAGATAATCTTGAAAATGCTACAGTATTTTAGAAAATATGTATTACATTTGAAAACTTGCTGAGATTCCACATATCATTGGTCTGTACTTGCATGCTCCTCATCAAGAACCACACATGCAACCACTGAGAGAGTTAACAAACAATCCACACATCATCCAAAGTGTCCCATGAGCAGAGGCAATGCAAAGGCTGCTGGGGAATTTACCTACCAATGAAAAGGCTCAGCTTCCTGCCAGTGCTAATCCCTCCCAGGCTCCCAGTTGCACCATGTACCTCCAGAAGGTGAGGAAGTACACCAAAATACTTTAGATTACCACAGAGTGGAGGCTTCAGCCATTTACTGCAAGGTGGGTAAGGCCTTTCTGAAGGCCTCTCCACCACTCCAGCAGACATTCCCCACCCCAAACATTAACCACTCTACAGCAGGGGCTTCTGCCATGTTTCCAGCTGAAGAACAGAAAGCTCACCTGCTGGTTTCCTTTCAGCTCTACCCCAGCAGTGCTGTTCTTTCCTTATACCACGCTGGTACTGATGTGATCTTTGATGCCAACAGCATCTGTCCTCCCATTTTAGGGCAGGGTTACAGCAGCAGGGGAGGTGCCATCCAACCCAAGGGGAGGGTGCACTGACAGCACAGCTCTCAGCACATACTGAAATGAACCCCCAAAGCTAGGCCATGGTTACAAGCACAGTGCTGTGGGTCCACAGCCTCGAGGGAGTGCCTGGAAGCACTGCACCAACTCCTGCAGCAACAGGCCCCAAGGTTACACACAGAGCCACATCAGTCCAGAGCTTTTTGCTTGCAAATGCTTTATGGGTACCAGGATGATGTTGTACTGCTTGTTCAAGACACGGTAACTCCTCAGGGTACTTTATTTATTGAGAACCAACATTAGAAGGACATGACAAAACCAGCAGTGTATAATATCCTGCTGGTGGTGGAGAGGCTTTAAGGAAGCTGGAAAACATGCCCATTCCAACAATGCTGATATAGCTATTATAGATCTGAACTGTATGAAAACATCAATGTAGCAATAATCCTACGGTCAGGATTGCATTTGAGTATCTGTGATTTTAATCAATACACCTGATTCTCTGTCCTCAGTAAATCTCAGGAATACAGAATTAAAGCCTGGAGCACAGGTCCCAGCTTGGGTACAGACAGACTCAGAAAGGTAACCAGCACATTTGGTAATGTGCTAAACTGCCTCTGAGATTTGAGTTTGGGAAGGACTAACTATTCCTTCATGGTACTCGCACAAAAGCCAGTAGGCTTTAGGGTATGGTGCTTTCTGTCTTGCCTGGAACAGACCCTGACTGCAGGAAACAGCAATCACTTCAGAATGAACCTTCTTGTTTGCATGAGTCACCAGCAGGCAACCCCTGGCCTTTCCTCTCCAGCTACTATACAACCCCCTCCCTGATGTGAGGCACAAAACCACCTGCCATGTCCTGCCCCACCTCCCCCAAATGCAGGAAATAGTCAAACACCCAGAATCAGAGTCTTCTGAGATGGAAACAAATGCTAAGTTTACACTAGAATGCATAACTGCCTTTACTAAGAAAGCAAACACATATAATAAGGAATCTCCCCATGTAGAGGAAACAGGATCTGCTCTTGGATCTCAGAAAGATCAACCCAAAACAAACTTAATAGAACCACCTTAAAAGTTACCATTGCTGGAGTCTGAACCCCATGTCCCAGCAGACCTCAAAATCTAAGTCTCCTTTGGGACAGACATCAAAATCCACCTCATGCCAACAAACAGCAGCAGCAGCTCTAACAAGGAAGATCCAATGTGAGGGGCTCTGTCCCTGCTGTCAGTACCAGCGTGCCCCTGACCCCTCCCAAGGAAGCCAATGCTGAGGTACTTACATAACGTATGTTTTGCTTGTAGCTTTCACTCCTCCAATGGGGATTCTCCTCACAATCACCGAGGAGTTCTTGGGAATCAGGGCACTGTCATCGGTGTATTCTGAAAACAACACCAATACAGAAGAAACATTACTCAATTTGTAAGAACGTATTTAATAGGTAATCGTGGAGCACTTTGAAGAAACTCCTTACAAATCTAAAAGCAAAATTTTATATATAACATCTCACTTTATCCTCTCAACACACCAACAGCACCTGTCAAGGAATCTTCGGATTTGATAATCAAGCAGCAAAATCTTTCTCATTTTTTAGAGTTAGTTTGAATGCCAACAGCAAAACAGTCTCAAAGACACTAAAGCAGAGCCTGATCTTCCCTGCCTTAAGTTGCTTTTGCTTCTGTTTGACTACAAAAATCAAGAAATCTCTGGAGAAAAACAAACCACAGCCAAGTCTCACCTGCATAAAACAGATTCTCAAGTCTGTGACTGCTTGTCCTGAACAAACCAGGCACTTGGCTAAAGCAGGGAAACTGCACCAGTGCCTTCCCTGTGTTAACTACACTTGACTCCCCCCTGGCTGCCGTGCCCAGGAGAGGGAGCAGAGCTGCCAGCTCTGCTTCTTGGAGCTGAACCATCCACAGCCTCACTGTGCAGCTGCTCAAGGCCTGGCATAGAAATGGAAATGAAACTGGCACCACTGGAGTTTGGAGCACAGAAACCTGGGGGAGCTTCTGAATTTGCTTTCACAAGTAGGGCAGAAATGGCTCAAACTAAAGTGGTACCTCCTTCCTTAAGCTCATCATCCAGTCTCAGTTAACCAAGGGGACATGAGTTCTTTCCATTCACTTTCTGCAGGGAAAAGAGACTCAGACAAAATGACTTCTGAAGACAGCCCCGAAAAGCCTTGGCCTGCACTGTGCTGCTTGTCCAAGGAGGAGAAAAGCCTCCTGACCTTTTACATGAGGCCTAAACAAAACCCCAACTCACAGACACACTCTGAGTAAGCTTAAAACTCAAAGACCTCTCCACGAGAATGATTTTTATATAGAACTGACACAGGCTGGATATGGCTAAATACTGCAAAGCACCATGAGCAGCCATTCCTTGTGATGTGCCTGCAATGTTATATATTCCAAGCCCTTAACTCTGTACTCCGAATCAGAACAATGGTCTGAAGCCCAAAGTTGCTGTGTATCTAGTGAAGTTCCACAGTGGTTTTGCTCAGTGATCACACACACAAAATACAAGTATTTCAAAATTTATGCTCCATTTTTCAGGAGGCAGGAACAGATTCTTCCTAAAGGCAGGAACCTCCCTTAGACCAAACATACCCACAAGAAGAATTCCTTTCAACCATGAAATAATATCTTATTTCTGTTTCAAACTAACAGAATTTTTCTTCAGAAAACTGAGAAATCATTTAGCTGAGACTAATTCCTGGCCTTCCCCCCCCCCCAGGGAACCAAACAGCAACATTCCTCTGGACTGCACAGCAATTTCAAACTGTAGGATGAGGGACTATTAGTGACAAAACCAGCAGCTCTAACACAAGTCACATCCTGGAACAAGCCCTAGAACTCTGCTCCTCACACAGCCACCTGTCAAGAGGCTGCACTGGGACTTTCAGATGGAGAAGGAGCTCAAACAGTGCTGAGGCCCAGACAAACACCTGGGAGATGGTGCCAGCTGCACTTCTAGAAGCCAAAGCAGCTGTTTCTACCAGTGGAACAGAGTCAGAGTGTCCTTTCTGGTCCAGATCGCAAACCACTGGACTGAGATTTCAGAAATACAGGATAAGAAACAGCAGCTCCACAAAAAGGCTTTCAGATTAAACTGGCATCTCCCAGCAGGGCCTGTTCCCCATGGGCAACAACATCCCCTGGCACAGACTCAACTCCCAGGACCTGCTTAGCCCTGTCACTGCCTTGCTGTGGGAGCAGTGAGGCCAACTTCACAGAGCTGCTCCTCACACTTGTCCAAGCAGAGCTCCAACAGAAATGCTCAAAGCTGGAGGTAACATCATTCACTCCCACTCGCTTCTAGCACAAACTTGTTCTACCACCAGTAATGGCCAAGAAGTGGCTACTGGATTTTGTCAATCTGAACTGTGATTAAAAATAAAGACTAAACTAACTCAAAATGCTTGCAAAAGCAAAGAAAGATCTGGATATTAAAGGCAAGAGCAGACGAGATGTAACAGTCTAAAACTTGCTATTTATCCCTCCAAGAAAACAGCAGCTTGAAAGAGGTCCAGGGAAAGAAGTATTTCAAGGAATGAATGGATGCAGACTAGTTAACAGCAGCTACCCTGACTGCTGACTCACATTGACTTAGAAATCTGACATCAACAACTGCATTAGTGCCCACAACATTCTTACTGCAAAGTGCAAAGAGCTCAGCTACGTTCTGAAGTTTCTGCTGCTTCACATTTAATGCAGAATTTAAACATCCAATTTTCAAATTAATCTATAATTCAAAAATCTACTAGTTTTAGTAATTTGTGTTCTATGTATGCTACAAACAAGTTACTGACAGAAGTTTCCCCATTATTTTCTGGCCTGCTTTAATCCACCATTTTGTGTGACAGCATTGCTGGAGCAGCTCTGAGCACTCTCTCCAGAGTACTTCCCAACTGGAGTACAGAACTCACCAGGAGTTCTCAGAAGGCAAGTCTAGGTGTGAAAGGTCAGGGAAAAGCCTTGCAAAGCAGCTGTTATGCTCTGGGGCCAGGATGTGTAGGTAAGAGTTGGGAATGCCTGCTAATAGGCCAGGCTGTCCCCACCAGAACACAGAGAATTCCTAAAAACACATTTTCCCTCTAGTGCTTAAAATTCCACTCCCTCATGACAGGATTTGTTAGCCCTGTTCTAATCACCTGCACTTGCTCACTCTGTGACAAGCCATCGCTGTAGCTGGCTCTGAAAGCAGCCTTGAAACATCCCGAGGAACAGACTGGGCCACTCCTGCTGGATTTTCTGCTTCCCCCAGAACAGGCATCACTGATCTCACCTACACAGGCAGATCATCACTCCTGGAGCAAGCTGGCTCAGGAGGCCAGAGGAGCTCCCTCTGCACTGTTATCCCAGGGCACTGTGCCCCACAGGAGCCCCTGCACTGCTCTGAAGGGAGCAGTCCATCAAATGTGCCCTCCTTCCACTCGTTAATTGGATTACACTGCCCGCCCCTCGCTGGGGTGCTGTCAGGTGGGGCTGCAGTGCCCCAGCACTCCTCTGCCTCCAAAACACTCAGCCCACACCAGTTCAGAGGCACAGCTTCTATTTATTTATTCAATTAATTTCCTTTGTATTTTGCCCAGTAAGTACAACGGCACAATTTCCAAGCGCTTTGAGTCAGAACTTCACAGGGCAGGAAAGAGCACTTGAGAAACCTCAGTTCTGGAGTTTGCAGCTCTTCACAGATTGTGAGAACACCTGTTAGCGAAGACAGGTCAGGAAATCCAGATCCAATGAAACAGAGGCAAGTTTAAAAGCATCACTCTTGAGTGCAGGCTTTACAGAACATGCCTCAACAACAGGCACGGAAGAGGATCCCTCCTTTATGGAACAGGTCCCACCCACCCAGTTTGCATTCCCAGAATTTCACAGAGTCCATCACATCCTTTTTTCCCCACTGATATTTAAAATCCTGTTTACTTTCAGCTTATATTAGCACTGCTTCTATTACTAGCTTTCCATTAGGAAAAGTAACAGCTCCTGAACTGTAAAAGCTTCCTGGACCTGGGAACAATGTGACCGCACAGCACATCTCCACTCATGGGGCACTTTGTTCTTCCCAAGACCATTCCAATGTTTACTCAGGACTCTTGCACAGACAAGGTTATAAAACACCAACACTCATGTCCACATGTAAGAATTCCAAACATCCCACTTAGGCAGAATATCCTGATCAAGTTTTTACTTTAATTTTTGCAGGTGAGCTTAAGCATCTATATCTGATTAATAAAAACAGAAATTCACATTTATAAACCAAAGATTTGGCAGACATATACTTTTGAAATGCACTCTCTAGCTTTGCTCTGCAAACCACAGGGGGATTTTTGCCTGTTCACATGGAAAACACCCTTAGGAAAGCTTCAATAAGCATCTGTGTCACTACTATAGAATTTTAAATTACGTATTTTATATATATTTATAATTTTATATTCATTTTGAACAACACAATCTGCCCAAAGGACTCAGCATAATCCTTTTTTAACTTCACCTTGAGGCAACACCACATTTAACAGCTTCTAGTAAGGCAAACACTCTTCCTTCCCTGGACTCTGGTTATGTATGAAAACAAAGTAACACCCTGGTAAATCTGGTATGTTGGATGCTGCAGTAACACTTCATGAGGTGACATTTATGAGCATCATTTTTTCTTCTAAAAACTTTGCTTTCTGTTCACCTGCTACAACAAGCCCCACGTGTTTGGCCTATTTCAAAGCGTTTTCTGTCCTGGTGTCCATAACTGGGCTCCATCACAGCTCCTTCCCACAGCCCCCACCGGCCCAGGATGACATCAGGCAGCTCCTGCAGCTGGGAGGCCCGAGTGCCTCAGCAACCGAGGACAGCTCAGGGACTCTCCTGCAGCACAGCCCTTAAAGCAAATCAAACTTATTTTTCAAAAGCTTTTGAAAATTTTATTCAATACTACTCGAAAGATTCAAGACTTCTGAACTGTGTCTCTGTCTCTGTGTTCCTCACGCAACCCAACAACTTCCCCAACACTTCCAGCACTGTGAAGACTCTCCACACCCTCCTGAAAATAACTTAAATATTTGTAGAGAAACAGAAGCTTTAAGTCTGACCCCTTTAAAGGCCAGGGCCGAAGTCACACAGCATTCTGATTAAGTTTTAATATGTGAAACAGGCAGAGAAAAAAACACTAGTACACATTTTAAAGAAAAGACTGTTGTGACAAAGAACCACAGGGGAAAAAAATAAACAGTTTTAACGTTTAAGGGATGAAAATACAATTCTTTTTATTTCTGAAAAGTCACATGCCTTAGTCTTTAGTCACATTTAAACTTAGCAAGATGGCAGATTACCGAACTGAAGCACCATAGTAACACAAGCCCATAATCACCTCGCAGAACCAAGCACTATTAGATTTAAACGAATTTATGACTTCACGAAGAATATTTCGTACATATATACATCATAAATGTTCTGCCATAAAACTTCAGGGCTGCCCTGATCCGGCAAACACGCAGTGCCAGGAAGATAAAGAAAAAAAAGGTGGACATGAATGATGAAACGATGTTCAACAGCATCCCAATGATGGTGTCTTTTGTGTGGAAAAGTTACATTAACCAGGAATTCCCAAAAGTAATTCCAATACAGAGAACACTCACGAGCAAGAGGCTTTAAAGGGTTGCAGAAATTGATACAGTCACTGATACACTCGATGCAAATTGTTGCTTCTGAGCAATTCCCGCAACGGGCACAAACCTGGCTACCAATGAAGGGGGGCAAAAGGTGAAGACAAAATTCAGTCACCAAACTCATTTTTTTTGGTTTATTTTTCCTTCAAATTAGCCATGTGTTCTACTCCCATCACCTTCAGATTTCTCTGAAATCTGACAGGTTTGTTACGATAAGACATCCTCCCGCATTTCCTTATCCTTTTACCTAGAACTCCAGGCAATCAAGGTTTTGTAGCGCTGAGGTGCCCGAGGCCCTCACCGCGCTCCGCGTGCAGCAGAGCTCCGACGGTGCCGTGAGAGCAGCAGCTACAAAGGCACAGCTCCGAGCCCGCCCCATCCCCGCAGCGCGGCTCCCGCGGCCCCACGCACCTTCTTTGGTCTGCGCGTTGGTGATCTGCAGGTCGCAGTCGGCCGCCTTCAGCTTCTCTCGGCCCATGATCTGGCGCTTGAGGTCGCTCAGGGAGATGTGGAGCCCGTCGAAGGTGACCGTGTCATAGTTGAGCTTGGAGGAGAACTTGTAGTGGACGCACGACATGGCGGGGCGCGGGCGGCGCCCGCTGCGGGGCCGCGTCGGGTTCGGGCAGGGCCCGCGGGGTGCCGCGCGGCGACCGCTGCGGCGGCGGGCGGCGCTCAGAGGCCCGCGCGCTGGCGGCCATGGCCGGGCGCGCCTCGGCGCTGGGCCTGCGGGCCCCTCAGGCCTCCTTCGCGGCGAGCCCGCGGCCCCCGCCCCGAACGACCAGGCCTTGCGCCCTCACGCGAGGTCTGGCCTCCCGCCCGGCCCTTGCTGCCGCTTCTGCTGCCGCTCCGGCTGCGCTCGCCCCGCTCGGCCGCGCCCGGCCGCGGCCCCGGCCCCGCTCGGTGCCGCTTGGCCGGCCCGGCCCCGCTCGGTCCGCTTGGCCCGGCCCGGCCCGCCCCGCTCGTTCCGCTCCGGCTCGGCGGCCCCCGCTCGGTTCCGCTCGGCCGGCCCCGCGGTCGCTCCCGCGGCCCCCCGCCCTCAGCGCCCGCTCCCGAGGGGTTTCCGGCCTGACAACCGCACGGCCGCTATCGTATTACCCCGTGAGCGCCCCCACGCGCAAGGCGCAACCAGCGCCCCGCCGCCCGCCCCCACGTGACACCCGGCGGCGCGCGGTGATCACGAGGGATTTGGGCGCGCCGGCCCGCCCCCGCCGCGCCGGGCGCCCCCTGCGGCGCTCGGCCCGCCCCGCGGGTTCGGCGCT